GTTTTTCAGTTGTATAAAAGAAAATAAGGGCGATCATCTGCGAATTTCAAGCTGATTTGATATGATTTTGGCAGCTTTTCTTATGGTTTTTCTTTGCATGACAGTTATTTTCTTATCGATATCGGTCATGAACTTGGTCAAGAAAATTTCATGTGTGAAAAGGTTGTAATAATTTTTAAAATTTTGGAATGACCTTGTCGCTCACGAAAGGGTAATGATTGTCTTTTTCTCGAGAATCGCAAGTTTCGTTAGCAGCAAAATATTCATTAGTATGTTGTTGTTGCTGTTGTTGTTGTTGTTTTCAGTTTTAATTGTAGGGGAAAGTTCAAGATACATTCCTTTTCAAACTGTAATAATTGCTTAGAGTTTTGAAAACAGAATCAATACGGGAAGGGAATGCCAATGGATAACAAATTTTTTGCTTCATATAGAAACTCAAATCAGTCATTATCAAAATTTAAAAACTAGGTTCAATATTTCAACATCATTTCTACTTTTGCTTTCCCCAAAGCCTTGATTCATTTTTGCTTGAGGCAAGAGTTGCACTCTAAACTGAACTAAATGCTTATTAGCCAAAGTTGGCACTATTAACGCCTAAAAAACACGTTAATTCAATAACATGTCATTACCTGCGAAAATGGATATTCATTATTTCCTCGTCGTAATTTAATTCTTTGACCAAACTCAGAGCATTTAGACGAAATAACTATGAAAACACCCGGGCCATAAGCCAAGTCTAACCGCAGTAACACGGAATCTGAAAAAAAAAAAAAAAAAAGACGTTCGTGGGAGGCTTATTGGCCTTCATAATTAATTTCAGAATCAGAAATTTTGAGAAACAATAATATAGTAGCTTAGAAATTCTATTGACACTTGAAATATACATTCAGATTTAACTTTACTTCCTTGGTTTAATGAATTTTTCCTTCTATTTGTTCGCATTTTATCTTATTTAAATTCTCAACACAGTACGAACGATCAACCTGTCGATTTTTTGACATTATTCCTATCGAAGCAATTTATACATACTGGATTTTTCAGATTTCGTTATCTCTGAAATCGAAACTTTTTCCAGTTTTTTAAAAATCCTTTCACGTCAATTTACGAAAAGCCGTAATCAGTACATATCAGGGTGATAAATCTTTTTATGAAAAAATAGCCTAAGATAGGTCCCTATTCTATTCGACTAAGCTTCCTTTCTGTCACATATGTTGTCAGTCAGATCAACTTCATATAATTCGCATGTATATGCCCTTATCAAATTAATTTTCTACGAATAAAATCAGTCGATTTTGAAATATTTTGTTCCCTTTTTGCAGTTTATCTTGGAGTCATTTACTTTAATTACTCGGCACCGGAAAACCTTTAAATCTTCACTTTGTTCGACGAAAAACAAAACAAACACAGAACTGGATTTTCCACTGTTAATTTGCATGATTTTTAATTAACAAAATAGGATCTAAACACACCATTTTTTCGTGTCGAAAATAAATTCGAACCCGACTGGCTGGCAGTATCAATTACTGAAGAACTTCTTATGCCTACTATATATCGAGTCAAAGCAAAAATAAAAATTTATTTTTCACACAGTCAGTTGGTTCCTTGGTGGGTAAAGCACGATTCCAGAAAAGATCAGACAATAAAATCTGGTTTCATTCAACAAATCAGAAAAAAAAAAAAAAAAAGAAGCTTACTATTATCCTTCTTTAAAAAATTAATTATTTCAGCTGATTGTAAGGAAAGAAGAAAAACAAAAACGACAGCTGAACTGCTAATTATACTCGGTCTTTTTTTATAGCAATGATTATTTTAACTGACTTTTTAACTAAAAATAAAATAAAAAGATTAACAAAACCGACCTCTGAAAATGCCAATTACAATGAATTTCTTGTAAGTCTGATTATTATGGCTTATTCTATTTCCCCCTCCATTGGCAGTGTTGCTCGCGGTATCTTAGCAATTTCCCTGCTTATACTGGAAAATTCATTTTTCACTTAATATCAAGAACCGCTTTTTACAGGTTCAGTTTTTCCGCTTTTCTCTTCTGCTTTTTGGATAGACCAAAAATCCATCTCCGACGCCTTGAAAGAGTTTTTTCTTCTTCACTTAACTTGTAGTTTTTCTTTTTGAAGTTATCATTTCCTTAAAGAAATATAATATTCATTGTAAACTTGGCTGGTTTCTTGCACGATCTCTTTGCATAAGACCTTTTTTTTATCAGTGTTTTTCCCCTTCTTTTTTGGACTAGCTTCCCAGTRCCGACTTACGGTCTCTTGGCGCCATTTATTACTTTTACTGACTATTTTATGTGGCTGAATGTACTGAATAATTTTTTATTATACCGACCTAGCTATTTAGTCCAAGAAGGCTCGTCTGCATAATCTCAAATGCAAGCTAACTTCTCAGTCTTGTTTACTTGTTTACTTCTCTTTATCTCTCTTCAGCTAGCTGGATCCGGATATAAGCGTGTCTCCATTCTCAACAACGAAGGCTTTTGTATGTCTTTCTCGTAGGCTACTGACGCCAAACATATTAAAGTCTCGGATCCTTCTATGTCGACGGTAAGCACAGCACAGGATAAAGAAAAAAACCAAAATAACAGCAATACAAAATACTACCGACACAGCAGCCCATATCTCTTGGCCAACACTGGCTGGTGTAGTTTCTGTATCAGACATATTACAAAAAAATTTAACTTTGGTTTACTACAGCACGAAAAGCCGTATCAGCAAAACTCTTGTCCTTCCATGTCCATGTTCAATGAATGACTGCTTCAAAAATCCAAAGAACAGCGCACTTTAGCTTTTAAAATCGATTTCTTAGACTTCTAATAAAGACGTCGTTCAAAGTCAAAATCATTATCGTGAGAATGCTCACATCGGCCTGGTTTTAAATTGAAACGCTGCTTCGGAAAAATTCTTGTATAAACCCGAAACATCACGGTACGTCGTCATAAGTGGACTATAATATGCATGAGTCAGTAACAAATAATAATTAATAAATTGATTGTTACTGCAGCTCCATTGGCTCTCTCGTTTGCATATCAATAATTTTGACACCATTAATATACCCACCTTATCCTAGGCTTTTTCAAAGTCACTTTGGCTTTGCTCTTTATATGAATCGATGCCGAGAGACTGACGACGTCTATCTTATTACATTAAATTTCACAACTGAATCCTATTTCCTGTGTTTATTAGRGGATTTACGGAACAGTTTGTCAAATGTGTCGGGGATGACTATGGAAAAGTGCTTTAATTCTTCATTAAAGGTGACTCCCTCGCCGCCAGAGATAAATTTTAGTTAAAATGAGATTCAATTAGAACATGAATCCATGACGGATCAACACTCTAAGGTATCCTCTAGCTAAAATGGTTTGATTTATCAGTCCCCAGGTTGAAAGGATAGTCGTTGATAGTTGATGGGGGTCTCCAAGAGACAATAATCTAAATGATTAAATCTATATCCATTCTATTAGCTCTTTAGTTTTGGGGAAACTTTTATCTCAGTCTTACCGAAATCTCATCGAGAGCTCCTTAAAGCTGGTCAGGTTCCAGTGAAATTGAATTCGCAGGGAATACGATCTACTTTGCCAAAGGGATCGGAAAAAGCAAATAAGATAAATTCTATATCTAGCCTCAGTAGACAAGTATTTTCAAGTATTCAAGTACTGAAAATGTAAGTACAGTGTCAAAAAAGCTAAAATCTGCACAATGTTATTCTATAATAAACGTGTGCTGTGGACTTAAAAAGGTTGCTTTCACTTCTATAAAAAGCTTAGCTTAGCAACGAGACTGTAAGGTAGTTGCCGGCACTTGTAAGCGACTGAAATGAATATTCCTGCTTGCAGAAAATCGAACCCCGCGAAGATAATACTTACTTACTATATACATTAATCAAGGCATTTACTAGCAGTTTCTGAAGTGATCTCATGTTTATACCGTATTATTRGGTATAAGTAGCTTTTTGCAAAGGACTCAAATGTAGCATAAGTGGTTCTTTTGAAGTGTAAGAATAAAAGTGCATGAAGCCATTATCATATGATAGCTTGTCTTACTATTCATTCATTATTTTTTCCTTCTTTCCATGTTCTTTTGTTCGGCTTTCTGGGTTTCTTTCCTTTCTTCTTTTTTCCATTCTTTCTTTCTTTCATTTTCTTTCTTTTTTCCTTTCCCTCTCCCTCTTTTAGTTCCATCCTTTAGTACTTTTTCACGGCTTTATCTTTCTTTCATTTTTCTCCCCATTCTCATCTTTCATTTTTCTACCTCTTCTTTTCTTTCTTCCTTTCTCCTTCCCTTTCTTTTACGTTCTTCCATTTCTTTCGTCAAATCAGAGTCGACAAAATCTCCTTGGTCCACATGCATATCAGTCCTTCTCTGGATCATCATTTATAACCTGGCGGCATGTTCATATATTCAGTGCAAACGTTATCAGTTCAACTCAGTGAGTGTCCCATATAAGATCGCCTGCCTAAATTCTATAATACAGAAGTCTACTTTCTCGACGCCAACTCAGTCTTTTACAAAAATGATTCTTTTAATGCCTATTGAGAAACAGGTCTTAAATTCAGTTTCTGTAAAAGGCCAATATTTTTGAGTACTTAATAGTTATGTTGGACCGAGATCTAGACAACATGACCATATTCAATAAACATACATGCTTATTTATCATTCTAAATTATGACAATCACCTGAATATTGGTGCCTAGTTCCGAGACGTTTTTAAACGAATAAACAGTACGATTAAAAGCGATATTATGAAGCCGTAGATTGTATTATTTTGTTTTGGCTTTCTTCCTTCCTTCCTTCCTTCCTTCCTTCCTTCCTTCCTTTCTTCCTCCCTTCTTTCCTCCCTTCCTTCCTTCTTTCCTTTCTTCCTTCCTTCCTTTACTTTCGTTCAGTTATCATTCATTTCATTCATTCTATCCTGAACTTTCAGTCTTTTACCTCCTTTTTTCCTTCTATATCAAGGTTATGGGCTTCCTGTGTTCGTCACCAGAACGAGACCATCTATTCCAAGATGGTGGACAAACACGAAGGAACTGTCGCCAAAGACATCGCCATAATAAGCATAATTCAGTTAACAATAACCACTATATCCAGCCTGTTTGCTAATTATCTTTTAACAAGTGTATCATTTGTGTCCAGTCCAACACTTTCCTTCAAGATATTCGTTGTTGTTTATAGTATTTTAAGCCTTTGTATTCTGATGTCAAAGACCAAGACGCGATGGAGCGTAAGTGTTAAAATATAYGCACTGACAAGATTGATTCCTTTCTAGGAGAAAACAAAAGAAGCAACAGTGAATCTTAGGGAGGTAGCTTTAGATTTTAAAATATTATAGACTAGTATGAATATGGCTGAAGGGG